AAGGAACAACAGGAGAATACTACTTAACTCATAAGACAAAACGAGTATAGTAGTATATGTACCAAGGATTCGATGATCATACTTGTATGAGCAAAGGTTCAACAAGATATGACTTCATCTATAAAGTGCATGTGACTGAGCGCATATCATGACTCACATCAACAAGGAGATGTGAGTTCGAGCTGGGTTGTAATCTGATTAAGCGCGCGATATCACATCACGGGCGACATAACAAGTAAAGGAATTACAAGAAAATGGCATCCAACAATTAGGACGGGATGTCATAACTTAAAAAGGAATGCGCAGCGGAAGCGTAGTGGGGGAATGAAGATATTCCAACCCTATGTGGAAAATTATAGAGTGAAATATTCAACTAACATTACTCTGAATTCGAGGACGAATTCATTTTAAGGGGGGTGGAATTGTAACACCCCGAATTTCGGTAAAAAGATTAAAGAAAAATAAACCGAAATTAACTACGCTTGATCAATGAAAATGAGATGATTGAGCGTTAAACCCTTAAATTTCCTTAACAAAACCAAAACGAGTAGGAGACCACGACATAAAGCCGCTCGGATGAATCGGATTAATGTGGAACAATATGGCCAAATGAAGAAGAGGCAAGGAGAAGAAGATCGACTATTCCAACGGAATATAATGCCCCGAGAGTTTCTCTTCTCCGCACCAAACCCTAGAAGATCGTTTAGGTGCCGGAGAAATGCTCAAGAACATAGAATCAGACCTAACCAAGTTGACCCGAAGGATTGGACCGAAACGAGCGAGAAAAACGGGCGAAAACGGTCCAGAACGTCCGGTCTGACAAGCAGACCGTCCGTTCCGCCTTACCGGGAACGTCCGTTCCGCCTTACCGGACCGTCCGTTCCGACGACGGACAGAACCGAGAAACTCCGCCGTCTTTCTCCCTGCTGAGTCACCGCTGCAACTCCGAGGTTTCACCGGCGTTTGACACCTCCTTCTTGACTCAGAGGCGGCCAACCTCCTCTACACGAGCTTCACTCTCTCACTCTGCTCACACTCAGCCTACAGCTCGCTCTCACCCTCTCCCTCGTGTTCTTGCGAACTCAGACCAAGAACTCTCAAATTGGAGCTTTTTTTCGCATGGAAATCGACGGGAAAATTCAGTAATCAACACTAGGAAACCCCAGCAACAAACTCCAGAGCTCAGAAATGACACAGGTGAGTGTTTCGGATTATGCTCGAAAATGATAATCAAATTGAAAATGGAGATTTGATTGCTTTGAGTGAAAATTGCATGAAATTGGTGTTAGATTTCGATTCCTAATGTTCTAGGGATCATTTTATGTATAACTTGTTGAGTTTGGTGCAAAAATTGGAAACCCGAAGTTCCTGGTGCGCCTAGACCGAACGTTCCAGGCATGGACCGTCCGTTCTAGGGTTCGCAGGGTTTCGGGGGAAGAACGAAGTCTGGAACGTCCGTTCCAGAGGTGGACCGTCCGTTCCACCTCTACTGGACCGTCCGTTCCAGCTTAGTTCAGACCGCCGGGACCAGTCATCTTGGACCGTCCGGTCTAGCTGAGGCAGACCGTCCGTTCCAAGGTCTTGTTTTCCCGTTCCGGCTTGTTTCGTCGGCTCAAGCGGGACCCGATGCTACCGACACCTACACGTGACCTACCTAGACCCGTT